TTCATCTTGTCCCAAATCATGCTTAATTCCATTCCAATATCGTATGGACAATTTTTCGTATCTCGAATGGTTGACAATCTATTTTGCACTGTTTATTGATGGTTTTAATTAATAGCAAAACCGTGATCGGGATCTTTCCATATCGTCGTCTATTGTTATGTTCTTCCATAGGTGTGGAGAATGGCTTGCAAAACATATCGCGTCAGAAATTGAATGATTTTCTTTTGAAACACACACATTCATTCATATATATGCATGCATCTTCATAATTTTGTGAGCAAATCTATTATCCTACGAAATAGTAGCGACTAGCTATTTTTCACGTACAATATGTAGCTCAATTCCATTTTATTTGCTAAAACCAAGATCACGTCGATAAAGTTTTGGTTACCAATTTATAACGTGTTTAAAATCTTGCATTCATCGGTTTTGAGACGTAATTTGGTCGTGTGGCTAAGAAATTTAATTTAATACTTTGTTAACCAAAACCTTCTGACTATTGTTATATATATATATATTTTGTGTTTCAAATTTTGACTTTTTAATTCTCTGGTCGCCAAGTATTCCTTTCAAGCTAATCGCACAACCTATATTATTTATATATTATTATAAGAGTACGTAAACTAATCGCTTACTAATGAATTTTTTTTTTCTTCCTTCTCGATTTTCTTAGTTACGTCCTTTTTTTTTTTAATTGTCAACTAGTTATGTCCTTCTATAACTTAAACAATTTGACAATTGACCAAAACACAAAGTCAGAACCCAACAATTTTTTTGTTTTAAATCAAAATATTCCCTGGCTAAAATATGATAGATCGCCTAAACATATATTAATCTACAGTCTCCAACATTGAACAGCGACACAGCCTTTTTTAAAGAAGTTGAATAGCGATACCGCGTGAAAAAACTCTCATGCACATAATTATATAAACCCTTTAGGGTTTGTAACATTCAACATCAATCTCATCAAATTATTTTATTCTTGATCGATAATTCCCCAACAAGAGTTTAGACTAAAAAAAAAAAGAAGATTGAAAAACATGAAGTTTTCACTAAGGTTTGTGCTAATGATGATGAGCATCATCCTTACATTCTCGATCTGTCAAGCTCAACTGTCTACAACATTCTACGATCAATCTTGTCCGAATGCTCTCTCCAAAATCCGATCCTCCATTAGAACCGCCATCGCTCGTGAGCGACGAATGGCCGCGTCTCTAATCCGTCTACATTTCCACGACTGTTTTGTTCATGTAAATTTCCCCCCAAATATTAACTCCACATTTTCTTTCAAAACAACGTTACATATCATTTTCAATAACCTTTTTGTGTATGTTTTAGGGTTGTGACGCGTCGATATTGCTCGAGGGAACATCAACTATAGAGAGCGAGCGAGATGCATTACCAAACTTCAAATCAGCGAGAGGTTTTGAAGTCATAGATAAAGCCAAATCCGAAGTCGAGAAAGTTTGTCCGGGCATTGTTTCTTGCGCTGATATCGTAGCGGTTGCGGCAAGAGACGCTTCTGAATATGTATGTTAGTGACTATATATATTACACTTCTACATATAACAAACCATATAATTAACAAAGTCTAGCCAAATATATTTAGGTGGGAGGTCCAAAATGGGCGGTTAAAGTTGGAAGGAGAGATTCAACAGCTGCGTTCAAGGCTCTTGCAAATAGCGGTGAACTACCGGGCTTTAAAGATAGCCTTGACCAGCTCTCTGGTCTCTTCTCCAAAAAAGGCCTTAACACAAGAGATCTTGTCGCTCTTTCAGGTCGGTTAAAAAAATCATATAAAATTTATAATGTCTCTTAAAATAAAAATAAAATCCTAAATGACATTTTTGTATATTTTGTGTGCAATGCAACACAAATATTTAGGAGCTCACACGATAGGTCAATCTCAATGCTTCTTGTTCCGGGATAGGCTTTACGAAAACTCAAGCGACATCGATGCAGGATTTGCTAGCACGCGCAAACGTAGATGTCCAACCTTAGGAAGTGATGGGAATCTGGCCGCTTTGGATCTTGTAACACCTAATTCTTTCGACAACAACTACTACAAGAACTTAATGCAAAAGAAAGGACTTCTAGTAACCGATCAAGTTTTGTTCGGATCAGGTGCATCGACTGATGGTATTGTATCGGAGTATAGCAAGAAACCATCGAAATTTGCGGCAGATTTCGCCACAGCCATGATCAAGATGGGTGATATTGAACCTCTTACCGGCTCTATGGGAGAAATCAGAAGGATATGCGGTTTTGTTAATTAAAGCAATGCTTGATATAGTTTGGGTTATATGCATGCAATGATGCATTTAAAAAATATTATTCGTTTGCTTCTTTATTGTAACTGTGTGTAATCTCTTGTTTTCAAAAAAAAAAAAAAAACTGTGTAATCTCTTATGTATTATTATTTTGAATGAAATATATTTGATTAAATGCTAGAGTTTCTGATTATATAATAGTCATATATACTAATTGTTATTTTATGAAACTAATACCGTATAACTTTCTATGCATACATATTAGTGATTTTCAAGAATTATATTACTTGAAAGATGTTATATCCATTATTTAGAATCCTATATTTATTTGAAAATTCACTTGGAATGAGATATATATAGCTCAAATCGGTAATTGATTTGGTTTTTGGCTGGTGTTGGTTTTATAAATTGCATTGTCTTAAATTTGAAGGAATTCTAATAAATAAAATCTTGTATAGAGAGAACAAAAAAAAGAAACCAAAGTTGTATATTATCTTTGACCAAAAAAAAGAATAAGAGTTGTATCTTTGATTCAGTTAAACTGGTTTGGGCCCTTTGGGCCAACTACTGTATCGTTGGGTCCACCATATTTTCGATGCACCGAGTCACATGGAATAAAAGTATCTCTGTTTCTTCGAGTCCTGAAAATGCGCGACCAGAGCATAAAGAAACAAGTTTGAATCGAAAAACCTTTCGTCTTCTTCATTTCTTCTCTCAGAAATTCACGGCGAGCCTCTGTTTTCACTCTTCATCACCCATTAAATCCCCTGAATCTTCTCCGCTAACTCCGTTTTTATATCTTCGCCTCAGAAACTTTTGATTTCCGTTCGTGAATTAGCGGTAGGGTTTCCTTTGCCTCTCCTCGGCGATTTTTTTCCCCCGTTGATTGGTGCATCTGGATCTGGATTGATATCGGTTTTGATCCGATCTGTAAAGGGTAATTGTTCGTTTGATTGATCGATCGAGATTGTTCGTGGAGTTGGAATAGTATCTGGATCTGTCAAATTGAAGATTTGTTTTGTTGCGATTGAGAGCTATCGGAAATGATTTGATCTTCGGTGTGGGTTTTGATTGTTCATCGTAGAGTGTCTCGTTGAGGCTGTTAATGAATATTGCTGTAGGAGAGGAAGAGAATCTGCTTCTGAGCATTCCACACTCTTTTCTGGAATTTCTCAGGTTCACGAGTTTCAAGAAGAAATCTGCGTCGACTATAAACCCTAGATTTAGATGGGATAAGGCGTTTTCTCTCAGCTTAAGGGAGAGATTATCCCAGATTTTGAATTGGGTTTTTGTTTTTTTTTTCCATCAGTAATCTGTGTGTTTCTGAGAATTGGAGATGGGTTCATCGCAAGGCTCCACACTCTCGTCTGATGTGATGAGCCTTGTGGATACATTGCCTGTGCTTGCGAAAACGCTTATCGCTGGAGGAGCTGCTGGTGCTTTTGCTAAGACTGCTGTTGCTCCCTTGGAAAGGATCAAAATTCTATTGCAGGTGATTGAATCTTATTTGTATTCAGATTTCTTTTGTATAGCTGAAAATTTGGGTGTTCTTGTGTGTTTTAACATCTAATGGTTGTATATCTGTGCTTTCAAAACCAGACTAGAACAAACGACTTTAGGACCCTTGGTGTGTCACAGTCACTAAAGAAGGTATTACAATGTGACGGTCCTCTCGGATTCTATAAGTAAGTACCTAGTGGTTTTGACTCTTATTTTTGCAGCTCAGCTCAAATCAATATACTAAATCCTTGCGCTGTGCTGCGTAACTCTTGCAGAGGAAATGGGGCGAGTGTTATTCGGATTATCCCATATGCAGCTCTTCATTACATGACTTACGAAGTGTATCGTGACTGGATTTTGGAAAAAAATCTCCCCTTAGGTTCTGGTCCCATTGTTGATCTTGTGGCTGGTTCAGCTGCAGGGGGAACAGCAGTTTTGTGCACTTATCCCCTCGATTTAGCTCGTACTAAGCTAGCTTACCAGGTTTGTGATTTTGAATACCTATCTTTGATAGATTTTTGTTTGTTGCTTAACTGAAAATTAAGAATAACTTTTTGTTTCTCCTTTGATGTCACTGTTATTGCATTTTAGGTTTCTGACACAACGCAGAGTATTCGAGGTGGTGCAAACGGATTTTACCGTCAACCTACATATTCAGGCATCAGAGACGTGCTTACAATGGCTTATAAAGAAGGGGGACCACGTGGGCTATATAGAGGCATAGGTAAAGGAGCTCACAAAAGTTGCTTGCATTAATGTTTAATGTGTATTTCAAATTGACTAAGGAGGTCATTTCATCTTACCAATAAACCGTTTGAATCAAAGTTATACCAACACGATAAGGAATTACTTAGTCTAATCTTGCTTGATTTAGTTTAGTAACAAACCGACTCTTAAACCATATCTTTATTTGGATTTGGAGATGATTATAAAGCTTGGGGATTTCATACGTTTTTGCAGGGCCAACACTGATCGGCATTCTTCCTTACGCTGGCCTGAAGTTCTACATATATGAGGAATTGAAAAGACATGTTCCTGAAGAGCATCAAAACTCTGTTCGAATGCATCTACCTTGTGGAGCTTTAGCTGGTTTATTTGGCCAGACCTTCACTTACCCATTGGATGTTGTTAGGAGACAAATGCAGGTAAAAAAAAACAAACCAACCAGATTCCAGAAACAAGATTCAAACTTCGCAACATTTCAAAACTCAGAATCTATTTGTTTTTTCATGTGACAACAGGTCGAGAATCTGCAGCCTATGACGAGCGAAGGTAACAACAAGCGTTACAAGAACACATTTGATGGGCTTAACACGATTATTCGAACTCAGGGTTGGAGACAGTTGTTTGCTGGTTTAAGCATCAACTACATTAAGGTAAATTCCGATACGAAGTTTTCAACTTTCAAGTCTGGTTTAAGCATCGACTCAATTGATTTGTCTTTGTCTGTTAGATTGTTCCATCGGTGGCGATTGGATTCACGGTGTATGAGTCAATGAAGTCATGGTTGCGAATTCCACCTCGAGAAAGATCAAAACCAGCTTGAGAGGGGTCTTTGTTCATTCACTCTCTTAAGAACAGACACAGAAGAAAACAAATTTGTTAGACAGATTTTTTGTTCTTTTTCTTTTCTATATTTTGTCAGGCACATTTGCCCCTATAATAGTATTCTTTTACGAAATATAGCAATTTTCTCTATAATTTTTCAAATCAAACCCCAAAAAAGGAAAGTTGATTCTTGTGTTATGAGGCAAAAAATCTCAAAAATGTCAATCAGCAAATTAGAAAGGGGTTTACTTTTTTCCTAATTGTTATTAAGAATTTAAATGTGTGTAGTCTATAAATAAACAACTTAATGATACAATTGATTAAAAACTAAATACTCCAATAATCTTGGACAGTAATTAAAATAAACTCGATAGTTACATTTAATGATGGGCCAATTCCACATGCGTATGCGTTTGCGTTTTTTGAAATGTCAAAAATAGCCCCACTCCCTCAGACAAGTTACTGACTAGACCTAGGATCATAACCGTCTTTTCATGTTAACAACGCCGAGTTAGAGAGAGATATATATGCGTCTAAAACAGTAAGATCAAAATTTCCATCGTTTTCCTCTCTCAGGATTCGACTCTACAGTTTCTTATTTAATCCGATCTTCTCTTCATCTTCATCGTCTGGGTAACTGCGATTCGCTGGTTTGAATCCAGATTTGTTCTTCTTTTTCCCAGATCACTTCTTTTTTTGGTGATTCTCAAAAAAAAAATTGGGGTTTTTTTTCAGGGTTTGTCGCAATGGAGGGAATGTTGTCTTCAAGTGACCAACAGAGATTAGTCTCATCTTTCCTTGAGATCGCTGTTGGGCAGACAGCAGAAACTGCTAGACAGTTCTTAGAGGTTCGTAGATTGTTTCGTTTGCTCGAAACTGGTAGATTTGTTTGTTCTATGTAGGTCGGTGTGAGCAAGCTAGACCTTGATTGAGTCTAGAGTGTATGAATCGGCTTTATTTTAGATTAGGGTTTAGTTAATATGGCACAATTTGTTGAAAGACTGGCAATTTGGGATGCCGAGTTGAAACCCTAGATTGGGTACTACTTCGTTTCAGCTCGTGGGGAAATTTGATGAACACTCTGATAAATTTGGGTATCTATTTGGAGCCCTAGACTGAGATTTAGAGGCAGAGTGTTTTGTTTTTGGAAATTTTTGGTTGATCTGCCTTTCGTGTAACAAGATCTCTGTGATGGAGAGTAGCTTGAGTTGGTCGCTGTGGTGTTACGATCTGCATTTTTATTGAGAGTTTTATATAATTTCTGTCTAGAATTTTCTTTTGTTTGGACTGATTGGTTGGTTCCAGAATGAGTAGAATGTTGTTGTTCGTGATTTACCACTCTCTCATTTTAATAGTTTGCTTTGCTCTCTTCACTTGTGTAAAACTACTAACATAGTAGAATACCTTTAATCAACAGGCAACAAGCTGGAAACTTGAAGAAGCTATTCAGCTTTTTTACGTTGGAGGGGAAGTTAGTATGCGTCCGTCTGGTACACACACTCAGCCAGAGTCCAACGATCACATGGCTGCGCAATCTTGGGGGTATGATAATGTTATATTTTGGTTATTGTAAAGTATTATTCATTTTGGGTTGTTCAACCTTTTAATTTCATGTTGTGTTCCATAGGGCGGCTACAGACATAGGAAATGAAAGGATACTGCAGAACGATGTAGATGAAGTCCGTCCTCCTTTGCCTGTTGTGAGGGAGACTCTTTATGGTGACTCAATGTATTATGGGTTAGTCTCTTTTCACTCTCCTTTCTTTTTGTCTTAAGTCCGGAACTTGTCTCTAGGTTGCAGTATTATCCTCAGAGCTGCCTGTGCGGTCAGCAGATCGTGTAGTTTAGCCTGAATTTCATGTCTTTAGAGTAGCCCTCTTTGGTTTCTTGATTCAGGGGTTGGTCTAGTCGATGTTTCTGCTGGTCTTCATCCAAGTGCAGTTTTCAGATTGACTGTTGTTTCAGTTAGCTCTAGTCAGAATTCTTATCCAGCTTTAGTGGATTCTGCTATTACCTCAAAGCAGACTTGAGTGATATTTAGTTGGCTCTAGTCAGTTGTTAGCAGAGTCTGGTGCAGGCTCTGTTGGATTGGGGAGCATATTGCAATGGCTTCCGCAGTTGGATCATACCAAACTATGTTTGGCTGTAGAATCACTCAAGCAGCCAGCTGAAAGCGCGGCATAGAGTTTAGTCTTTAATCCTCCGGTTATGGTCGTAAAGTTTCTCTAGTTGCTTATGTGTTAGACTGTCAAACTCATGTTGGTTCAGTTCATTCCCTTTCCTTTACTAATTCAACAGACAAGGAAGATATGCAAAAAAAAAAAAGTTCATCGTTCCAGTGCTATTGTTTAAAAAGATATTCTCCCGCTACTTCTTTTGCTTAAAGAATAGCATCTGCACAAAAAAAACTAATCCAGGGAAGATTCATAAGTACACAATATATGTCCTCAGATAGAAGTGTTTTCATCTGTCAGCCCAGTAGAGTCGGCGTCTGCGACATGTTTTATCATCCGCCATTATATGTAGATATCGCTTTATTATTTTATGTTGATGATATAATCTTCTAACAGAACATGCGGGATGTAGCTCTCGTAACTCACTTGCATTTATGATTAGGGCTACGAGGGTGGGAAACTCTCAGCCTGAACCAGCTTCTTTGATTGCTTTCCGTAACTTCAGTGAAGAGCCAAAAAGCCCGGGAATATGGGAACCAGAAGAGGGAGCTTCT